CAACATCCTGAAATCCAAAGGGACTGGCCAGAACAGCCAGCTCTGTTCCAGCTCCTCCAAAAATAGGTTGTCCTTCAGTGCTGGGGCTCAGCAAGTCCTGTTACTCCAGGCAGCTTTCCAGGGTCCCTCAGCAGCAGTTCTAGTGAGGCCTGCACAGATGAGATTCCACCCACCGTGGGCAGCTTTCCTGAGTCTGTGAGGAGCAGCTCACAACAAATCCTAGGTGTCTATTGTTCCTTGCGGCCTATCTGTAAGGAATACACCTGCTTTGTGTAATTTGTGTGTGGGTTTGTTCTGTCTCACTAGATTCAAAAAAGTTGGTAACTCGTACATAGTAAACCTGCTTCATACCCGGTACCTGGAACATGACAAGCACACACTAAAGCATGTGTCCAGTGACTTGGCAGGAGGCAGAGAAGCAGGAACCAGTCCCTTTGTGGTCCCTGATCCCAGAACATCCTCAGGCTGCTCTCCCCCTGCTGCTCCTCCATGTGTCTTCCCTGTTCCTGGGTCTTAGTGGACACCAAGGGGCTTGGAAACCCCCATGACTCAGGAGCCTCCTTCTCAGGGTTTTGACCTTCCAGACCCCTTTGTGCCCTGGGGTGGTGACAACTCACATACCTGAGTAGTCAGAGGTCATTTGCTTCATGGTGATATTGACTTTTACTAGTGAAGAGGCACAATTTCCCCTGCTTTCTGCTCTGCACAGTAATGGGGCATAAATTCAAGGGGCTTGAGAGACCTCAAGTCCCAGGAGGATCCCTCCAGGGACACCCAGCATAGGCATTCTTTGGGTGCCCTCCAGGACCCCTCAGAGAGTGGTGAACTCTGTTATCTCCAATCTTCTGGGTGACTGGCTTGCCCAAGGGTAGCCAGAAGGAGACAGAGCTAAGAGTTCCCCTCCACTCTCCATCTAGAACTAGGGCTCAATCCACTCCTCTCCTGACCTCTCCAGGATGGGTTTGCCTCTGAGTGCCCCCATCCATGCTCTCTGCACTTGATTTCCAATAGAGGCTCAAAGTATGCCCTTTACAAGGTCAATATGCTCACTGGGGGAGGCCACAGTCTATGCAGCGGCTGCCCATACTCCCCAAGCCTGCAGTCATGGGGCAGCAATGAAGCCAACAGTGCCAGTTGCAGGCAGGAAATAGGAGGGAATCTTGCTCTGCCAAATACCAGAATGACTTAAGTGTTCGTTTCAACTCTTGTAACTGATGGTTGTAAGTTAAGAACAATGGTCATACATGGCTGGCTCCCTTCTGCAGAAGGCAGTGAGGTCAATCAGCAATGGATGTTTGAGGGATGCAGGCTCTGAGAGGCAAGAAGGTGTTTCTCAACTTATTGGTGAGAAAACTCAGATCCAGAGAGGTAAAGACTCTTGCCTAAGGTCACACAGCACAGTGACAACAGAACAAGGGTTGGAACTCACCTCTTTCCAGGACAGGACACTGCCCCAATATCAACACTCCAGGTGGGGGTGGAGGGAGAGGGCAGTGGGGGCTGGGAAGTAGGAGAGGGCAGAGAATGTCCAGCCATGTGCACTCCACAAGGACAGGGCTTACTGTGACCCTTGTTTTCTCCTGAATCTGCAGGGCCGGGCACAAAATAGGTGCTCCATAAATGCCCATTCTCTGCAGAATCCCCAGGCCCTCCTCACTGGGTTGCCAGGTCTGCATGGACTGGTGCAGGTCCAGCATTTGCTGCTGCACTTCCACATCTCTTCCCCACAGCTGGGCAGTCACATGCCCTAAGCTGTTGACGTCACTCCACCCCTTCGCTCCTGACTCCAGAAGTCTTGGCAAAGACTTGAAAATCCATCTGAGTTCAAATGAAAAAACACACACCTAAAAATGCTGCTTGTATTTCCCCCACTTCTCTGTCATCCATCCAAGTTCTGTCTTCACTTTCCCATCCCCTCAAATATCCAGCCCTCTGTATCTTCCCTCTGTCCTTCCTAAAGGACAGAAAGGCCCCACCTGTTCTGGAAAATGAAGGAATGATGGAAGAGCCAGTAATTACTGAACATTGTCCCCCTGCTTCCGAGGTGACAGAGCAGCTCAGCAGAGCCTGGCCCAGCTGAGTTGCAGGACGAAGGCGGAGCTTAGGGAGATGGGGTACACGCATGTCACCAAAAGCCACTGAGACCTGCAGCTGGTGACCCGGTCACGTCCATGGCCTGAGTGCTGAGCTCACCCACAGCCATGGAGTCCACATGCATTGAGGGCTTGTTCAGAGCTGCCATCCATCATCACTCAGTCAATGGTGCTTGAGTGCCTGCTCTGTGCCCTGTACTGTTCCAGGACTTGAGGACACAGCTCCTCATGGAGCCAACATTCTAGCGCAGCAGACAGGCTCCAAGGTCACGCCTCTTGGCCAGCTTTGTCCTGCTTTGCAGAATCCTGATGCAGGACCCTCAGGGCCATGTCACTGGCAGAATCTTGTTGGCCCCGGTCCCATGGCCTGTGATGGGGCTGTGACTGCTTTCACAGGTGAAAACCAAAGGGGGCTGCTGAGGCTCTGCAGACCTCCTGGGCCTGCAGTCTAGGTCTCCAGGATTCTACTCAGGGCCTCCTTCCTTGTCCCATTGGGTGTTCCTATTTAGCAGCTGCCCCGAACCCTCAGCTATCTCGCCAGAGATAAAGGGTCAGAGGAGTGGTCAGCTCTCCAGATGGACACAGATGGAGCAGGTGTGCATTCAGTGGTCATTCCTCCATTATTGCCTCTACAGTCAGAGCTCTCTGTAGCCAGCTGGCAGAGCACGGAGGTGACCCTTTCATTCCACAGTTCCCTGGGACAGATGAGTGAATCAGCAGTTTCTATGTCCAGATTAAGAATTGCCCAGCCTGGTTGACTGCTCACCAGTTGTGTGAACTTAACCATGTCTGTTCGCCTTTCTGGGCCTCAGTTTTCTCCATCTGTGGAGTGGGCATGTTGGTGGTATCTGCCTTCCAGAGCTCTTGAGAAGGGCCAGGCAATGATGCTGGGCATACTACCTGGCGGTGGTGAGCCTCCACCAGCAGTTCCTATGTGTTACAAGATGCCCCAGACCTCTTCCTATTCTGAGCTGCAGCCCTTCCAAGTCTCCCAAACCCATTTCCTCTCCCTGCACCTACTGTCCCAGCCAAAGTGTGGCCATCCTCCCTGTCTCAGCCGATCCATCATGTCAAGGGGGAGAAGGACACATGGGCAAATGGTACAGATACAGAAGATTTTTACGCTCACACAGGGACTCTGCCTAGGGATGGGGCTACTTTAGAGGAGAGATCAAGGAAGGCCATTCAGTGGAAGCGTCCCTTGATTTGGCTCTCAACAGTGTATTTTCTCAACAGTGTATATTTTCCAGATGGAAACAGCTGCGGGGTGGGGTGGAGGTCCCCCAGGCAGAGGAAGCATCAGGGTTAGGAGCATGGGACTTCAGAGTGAGGCGGGCGGAGGTTTAAACCTGATGGTCAGCACTGGGGAATCCCTGGCCTGGACCCTGGCTCTGCTGCTTGCTGGTTGTGCAACCTCAGATCTGAAGTCTCCCGCTCTGGACCCCAGTTTCCCATCTGTGATAAACCAGTATAAACCAGCAGGTGCTCAGGTGATCACTGCAGGAGGTCTGGCTGCACGGGAAGCTCCTGGGGTGTGAGGGCTTTGGGAATTATCAACAGAAAGGTGATAATTTAAATCTCAGGTGTGAAGGGGACCCCCCCAGGGAGAGTGTGGGAGGAGAAGAGATAAAAGGAAAGCAGTGGAGAGTGCCCTGGAACCTTCCCCTTGATTCCGCCTGTGGACTCCTCTGATATCAGAATAAGGAATCAGACTCTGGCCACAGCAGGAGAGTGAAAAGTTAGACACAGAGAAGTACTTTCTCACCATGACAGAGACAGAGTGTAGTGGTTAAGAGGGTGTACGCAAAGCCCAACTCCCCGCTTACCATGTGACCCTGGGCAAGTGACTTGACCGCTCGGTGCCTCAGTTTCCTCATGTGTAAAATGAGGACAACAGGTATACCTGCCTCACCGTTGTCAAGAGGGTTAAATGAGGTAATCCATGTATAGCGCTATGCTCAGCACTAAGCAAGTGTTTAATGTGAGTTACATGCAATGATGATGATGTTTATGGTGATGAGGATTCTGATGATATTAATGGTGACAATGGTGATAACAATGACAATAATGAAGATGACAGTAGTGGTGGTGGGGAAGATGATGAGGATGATTGTTACGGATGGAATTGTGTCACCCGAAAATTCATATGTTGAAGCCCTAACCCCCAATGCTACTGTATTTGGAGACAGAGTCTTCAAAGAGGTAAAGCTGCATGAGGTCATCGGGATGGTGACCCTAAGCCAAGAAGACTCTTGTCCTTATAAGAAGAGGAAGAGGGCTGGGCACAGTGGCTCACGCCTGGAATCCCAGCACTTTGGGAGGCTGAAGCAGGCAGCTCACCTGAGGTTAGGAGTTTGAGACCAGCCTGGCTAACATTCCAAAATCCCGTCTCTACTAAAAATACAAAAATTAGCCAGTCATGGTGGTGCATGCCTGTAATCCCAGCTACTCGGGAGGCTGAGGCAGGAGGATCACCTGAGGTCAGGAGTTTAAGACCAGCCTGGTCAGTATGGCGAAACCCCAAGTCTACTAAAAATACAAAATTTAGCCAGGCGTGGTGGTGCATGCCTGTAATCCCAGCTACTTCAGAGGCTGAGGCATGATAATTGCTTGAACCCAGGAGGCGGAGGTTCCAGTGAGCTGAGATCACGCCACTGCACACCAGCCTGGGCAACACAGTGAGACCTTGCCAAAAAAACGATAAAAGAAGAGGAACAGACACCTTCCCCTGTGTACACAGAGGAAGGCCACGTGAGGACACAGCAGGAAGCCTGACAGCATCCACAAGCCAAGGCGAGGGGCCTCAGGAGAAACCAAACCTGCTGACACCTTGGTCTTGAACTTTTAGCCTTTGGAATGGTGAGAAAATGAATGTCTGTTGTTGAAGCCTCCCAGTCTGTGGCTTACCTTCTTGTGGCAGCCCAAGCAGACGAAGACAGGAGTGAAGACGGGTCCCAGGCCAGGCTCTTCTCAGCTCTCTGCCCCACTGTTGCCAGAAATGCCTCGTGTTCCATCCTCCCATTCTGTGCTGCCCCAGGGTTTGTTGGGTGAAGCTTAGTCTCCATCACTCTAGCATCAGTATTACTTAGTAAAAACTGTAGGTTGAGAGCTGGATAGGACAGAAGTATTGAAAAATGATAAGGCCTAAGGATGGAGAACACATTTTTTTGCTCAAATCACAAAATTTGGAGCAGAGGGAAAGCCCAAGAGAGGTTGAAAACAAGGCAGGCATTAACCTCCTTGACTCTGAGGAGAGAAACTTTATGGGACTAAGGGTTGCAGTGGGCAGTAGCAGAAAGGCTTCTGGGAAGGCTCTCAGGTTGTCCTGGGTCACTAAGGGGGCACGAGTGTGGGTGGAGGGCTCTCTATACTTTGAAGTTCGTGTCCAGAAAGTAGCCACATCTTCCCAGCTTATTCTGATAGTTTCTGTCTTAAAGAATGATGTGGATACAAATTGCAGAGCCTGTGGCAACCAAATCACGAGCTTTCATACTGTATTAGTCCATTTTCACACTGCTACAAAGAACTTCCCTGAGACTGGGTAATTTATAAAGGAAAGAGGTTTAATTGACTCACAGTTCTGCATGGCTGGGGAGGCCTCAGGAAACTTACAATCATGGCAGAAGGGGAAGCAGTCACCTTCTTCACAAGGTGGCGGGAGAGAGAAGAGTGAGCACAGGGGAACTGCCCTTTATAAAACCATCAGATCTCATGGGATTTACTCACTATCAAGAGAACAGCCTGGGGAAAACTGCTACCATGATCCAATCACCTCCCACCAGGTTCCTCCCTCAAATGTGGGGATTACAGGGATTACAATTTGAGATGAGATTTGGGTGGGAACACAGAGCCAAACCACATCACATACTCACATCGGCCCTTCAAGCCATCTTACATCAGGATGTGCAATTGTGTATATAAAGTGGCTGGAACATGGAACTAGCTAAGTTGGTGGTGAGGATGATGGTAATGATGGTAATGGTAATGGTAGATGATAGTAATGGTGGTAATGGTAATAACTGATGATAGTAAGAGTAATGGTAAAGTTAGTAATAATAGTACTGGTGATTATAGTGATGGTGTTGATAGTGGTGATGGTAATAGGTGATGATGGTAATAGTAATGGTAATGAGAGTGATGATGGTGATGGCGGTAATGATGATGATGGTGATGATGAGGTAGTGGTGTTGGTAATGGTAATGAGTAATGATGGTAATAGTAATGGTAATGGTAATGTTACTGATTGTGATGGCAATGATAGTGATGATGGTGATGGTGATAATAATGGTGATGATAGTGGTGGTGTGATTGTGATGCAGATGTGTTGGTGATAATGAGGATGATGATGATAATGATAGTGGTGGTGGTGATGGTAATGAGTGATGATGGTGATGGTGATAATAATGATGATGGTGATGGTAATGGTGGTAATGGTAATGTAACGTTAGTGATGATGATGATGATGATAACAGTGATGACGGTGATGGTGATAATAATGATGATAGTGGTGATTGTAATTGTAAGGAGTGATGGTGATAATGGTGATGATGGTTGTGGTGGTGATGCAGGTGGTGGTAATGGTGATGGTGATTATGAAGATGATGATAATGGTGGTGATGGTCATTGTAATGAGTGATGGTGGTAATGGTGACGATAGTGATGAAGGTGATGGTGATAACAGTGATGGTGATAGTGGTAGTGATGCAGGTGGGGATGGTGATGGTGATGATGAGGATGATGATGATGATGATGGTAATGGTAATGAGTGATGGGGATGGTGATGATAATGGTGACAGTGATGGTGATGATGGTGGTGATGGTGATGATAATGGTGATGGTACGATGGTTATGATACAGTGGTAGTAATGGTGATGATGGTGATGATAATTGTCATGGTAATGAGAATGGTGATGAAAATAACAAACACTGGTTGAATTGAGCAGCTTTAATGGGGAGAGCTGTTATCTCTGATGGGGATTTGACAATCTAGAGATGCCCCAGCCAGCCCTTCACATTCCCTACTCTGCCCCACCTCACCTGCTCTACAGGAGAGGATCCAGGAAGTCTCACTTTTCAGAATTCCCTTGAAGAGGACTTGGGGATGAAGTTGGCTAATTCCATCTCTGGATGTTGGACACAGCTCCTACCTCTAGGGAAAGTCTGGGGTGGAGATAGGGGAGATGCAGGTAGGCCGGGGGCAGTGGCTGTGGACAGAGGGACAGCAGGTAGGCTCAGTCCCCCTGGCTTGTTAGTGGGAGACCGTTAGCACAGCAGCCCTGCCCTGAGATCAGCTCACTTTCCTGATCTAACCAGCAGTTTGGGACATTAAACTGTACCCCCAACCCAAGCCCATGCCCCTGAGAGGTTTCAGCTCAGATAGGAAACGATTCCTATCGCTAAGGCAAGAGTCTAGACACAAACCAGAGACCGAAACTATAATTTTCAATTCTAATTATGCAGTGTGAGTTCATTTTTGAAAGTAAAATAAACAATAATCAAATAAAATATCCCACCCCTAAAATAAAAAATAATTAACATCCTGAGTTATTTCTGTTCATTTAAAGGAACGGGGCATTTTTATTCTTTACTCCCTTCCTGTTCTTATGGTTTGACTTATCCTTCGAGATCACTTGCTGAGCACCTACTTGTGCCAGGCAAATGCTGGGAGCAAGAATGAGAAATAAAGAAGTCAGACAAGGTGCCCACCCTCCTAGGGCTCATAGCCAGGAGGAAGACATGGCCCTTCAAGGAAAAGTCACAAAGATTGAAGTACACCTTGAAATGAGCCAAACATGCCATGTGCAAGAGGCTATGTGGGAGAATAGTCAGGGGGACTAACCTGGATTGGCAGGTGACGTTAGGAGCTGATATCTAACCTGAGGCTGAATAAGCCAGTTACCTGAAGAGTAAGGGCTAGAGTGATCTAGGGAGCAGGAACCTCATGTGCAAAGGCCCTGGGGTAGGAAGGAGTGTGTTGGAGGATCTAAAGAAGGCCCTGGGGTTGTGTGTGGTGAGGAAAGAATGTGCGGAGGTGGAGGAGGCAACAGCCGACCTGCAGGGCTTTGTGACCTTGGCAGCAGGGCTGGGTTTACTCGAAGTTTCCCAGCTGGCATGGAAGAGTTCTAAGCAAAGGGGCAGCTTGATTAGCTTGGGGGTACTACTAACCACACTTGACACTGTGTGGGGGGCCTGACTGCCTCTTCATGAGCCCCATCATTGGAGAGGCCCGCAGCCCTGTGGGTGCTGGTGTGGAACAGGTGGGGACATCAGAAGAGGCTGAAGACACAACTGGGTTAGTGTGTCTAGGGGCCAGGGCAGAAGCTAGAGTAGAATTACTTTAACCTCCAAGGATCCAGGAAAATCATGGCAGGAAATGGACTTCCCCAGGTTTCCACCCAAGAGTGTTTAGGTCATAAGGGCTTCCTGGGTGTTTAGGCCAAGACCCCTGACTCTGCAGACTCCAGCTCTGCAGCACCCAACATGGGCTCACGTGTTTGGATGACCTGACCCTCTGTGGGGAGCATCATGACCTGAGTTTGACATGACAGAAGTGCCTTAGCCCTGAGCAAACCATCTGTCCCAGGGGGCCCACTGAGGGCAAACTGCTCCACAAACCAAGCCAGGCACAGCAAGGGCAGGACAGCAGAGAGGGTAACAATGCCAGACAGACCCGGGCTGGCTCCCAACATGAACAAGTCCTGACCCAGCAAAGGTGGGCAAAACTCTCCCCTCCCCTGAGTCTCAGTTTCTGCATCTGCGAAATGGACACTGTCTCACCACCACCTGGGGCATTGCCCAAACACACACACACACACACACACAAACAGAACAAAACTGAACCAGCCCTCACAGTCCTCTAGGTCAGGGGTCTCCACCCAACCTTTTTGGCACCATGGACCACTTTTGTGGAGGACAATTTTTCCACAGATGGGCGTGGAGGGGGGATGCTTTGGGGATGATTCAAGTGATTACATTTATTGTGCACATTATCTCTATTATTATTACATTGAAATATATAATGAAATAATTATACAACTCACCATAAAGTACAATCAGTGGGAACCCTGAGCTTGTTTTTCTGCAACCAGATGGTCCCATCTGGGTGTGGTAGGAGACAGTGACAGATCACCAGGCATTAGATTCTCATAAGGAGTGCGCAACCTAGATCCCTTGCATATGCAGTTCACAAGTCTCCTATGAGAATCTAATGCTGCCGTTAATCTGACAGGAGGCAGCACTCAGGCAGTAATACAAGCAACAGGGAGTGGCTGTAAATACAGATGAAGCTTTGCTTGCTCCGCTGCTCACCTCCTTCTGTGCGGCCCAGTTCCTAACAGGCCATAGACCAGTACCAGTCCGTAGCCTAGGGGTTGGGGACCCCTGCTCTAGGTTGTACGGCCCTACTCTCTGAGTGTCCAGGAAGGGGGCTGGAGTTGAGGCCGAAGGAGTGGGGGAAGCAGGCTGCACTGTTTTCAGTCTAGAGAAGAGGCTGTCCACAGAAGGGAAAAGGGATTTCTCATCCTCAAAAATATCTCAGTTGCAGCCTGGATGTCTAACACCCGGGAACATCCCTGGCTGCTCTGACCTTAGATCTGGAACTAAGGCTTCATGCAATGCCTCCCCAGCTTCCTTCCCCAGATCCAGCCCTTGCTGACAGCAACTAGAAACACAGCCCAATTCCATGTTCAAGGAGCATGGGAGCTATGGGCCCACATGCATCAGGATGGCTGAACAGAAGTAGGTAGGGCTGTGGAGGTGAGGTGGGAGAGGGGCGTGGGCAGATCATGGAAGGAACTGTCAGCCTGGGGAATGTGTGGATTTTGTGTGGTCCAGCACACGGTAAGTGCTCAGCAAATGCTTCCTAAAACACTGAACAGCACCTCCTGCCTGGAGCAGTGGAGGGGGATTCAACAATGAATCCCCCAGGTCCTAGCAGAGCCCCTGAGTCCACGGAGGCATGGATGGGAGGGGATACTGGTGGCCCCCCTGCCCCTGGCCCCTGGGTTATGCAGCCCAAACCCTGGCATTAGAGCAGCATCCTCACCTGGCTGCACACTCAGATAACCTGGGAGCTTTGAGACGGCACCGTGCAGGCCCAGTCCAGCCCTA